GGAGGAGACGGAACACTGCAAAAAAAAAAACAAAAACAAAAAAAAAATGCATTGACCCATGTCACTTTAGTTTTGTGTATTTCATTGTACATAAATTATATTTCAATAAAATGTGTTAAAAAAAAGACCCAAGAATTGTTAAGCATTGTGAAATCACTTCTTAGAATGGTTTTTAGAGTTGAACTACCTTTGATTTCCTCATGCAAATGATTATTTCTCTGTACTCATTCATTCATTTGTTTACACAGCCCTTTTTTTTTTTTTTAAGGCCCTACCATGTGCCAGAAGTCCCTAAGTGGCACAAATGGTTTGTGCTTGACTGCTAACCTAAAAGTTGGAGGTTCAAACTCACCCAGTAGTACCACGGGAGGAAATGCTTGGAGCTCTGCTTCCGTTAAGACTACAGCCAAGAAAACCTTATGGAGCAGTTGTCTTGAGTCAGAATTGACTCAATGACCACGAACCACTACCACAGCCACCATGTAGCAGAGCTAGTGCAAAGCATAACAAAGAACACAAAGAGGAATGTGCACAAGGAGCCAAGTAGAGAAGAAAAGCCAACTACAGGGTCCTAAGAGAGGTAGTTATTTGTGAACCTGTTCGATAAAAGTCTATCTCTCACTGCTAGACAATAAGCCCCTTAAGTCAGGGAAGCCAGGAAATAGGTCTCTGTCTCTTGCTCAGTATTGAATGCTCAGTGTTGAACAGTGCCTGGCACATAGTAGGAATTCATTATTTATTTGCAAAATAAGAGAAATAGTATCACCTAAAAGAGATGGAAAAAAAAAGTGCTATGGGGGATTGAAGAGGTGAAGCTTAATCTCAGCTGGGGGAAAATGATCTGAACAGAAAAAAAGCTAAGAGGGTCCCTAGAGATGACTGCTTCCAGCCTCCACTCTCACCCTGATTTCCCGAACAACGAAACTGTCACAGAGGTGAGAAATGAAATGCTCAAAATTACATAGTAAGTGATGGCAAAGCTAAGTCTAGAAGCCAACTCTGCTGAATCTTATCCTAGACCTTTATGTGACACTACCCAACTGGTCCATTCAGTGCTCTCTGCAGATACCCACTCCTGACGATGATGAAGATGAGTAGTAATAGCTAACCCATAAATAGTGCTTATTATGATCCAGGCACTCATCTAAATACTTTGTATATATTAACTGATTTCATTCTCTCCATAGCCCTGTGAAGTAAGTACTATTATTTTCCCCATTTTTACAGAGGAGGAAACTGAAGCACAAAGACATTGCCCAAGACATTGCCAACCACAAAGACCCAATTTGCCCCAAAGCACACGGATAATAAGTAGTGGAGCTGGGATTCCAGTCCAGGAGGTCAGCTCCAGGAGGTTCTCCTACCCATCATGCTATTCTACTGTGGTATGTCTACAAACAAAAGGCATTTCATAGACAATATGTAATGACAGCACTTAGAGGTGCCATTGGGTTTGCTTTCATGTTACTATTAGTAATGGATATGCTTATCCCAATCTGAAATAGCTCATTGGAGGCAAAATACATAAGTAAATAAGTGAGCAGAGGGAGGGAAGAATCCTGGCTAAGAAATAGAAGATATGTTGGCTCCAGAATCTTTCAATATATAGGATATCAATGTAAGAGCATTGAAATAGCACATTTCAAGTCTCTGTTACTTGAACTCTTTCTCCATCAAGTACAACATCTAATTCAGTCCTTTAAAATGGTAAAACCAAACCACTCCTACCAAAGCACTTTATAGTAAGAGGCCTGGGTTTGAGTCACCACTCAGCAGTTGAGTGACTTGGGGTTTATGGAAGCCTTTATTTCTTCTTCTGGGTGAGGGAAAAATAACAGCCATCTCATAGATCAGATATAATGTATTCAAAACACTGTCATACCAAAACCAAACTCACTGCCATAGAGTCTATCCTGACTCAGAGCAGCCCCTCCTTGGGTTTCTAAGGTGGTATCTCTATGGAAGTGATTGCCCAACCTTCCTTCTGAGGAGTGGCTGGTGGGTTTGAACCAACAGCTTTCTGGTTAGCAGTCACATGCCTTAGCATGATGTCAGCATATAGTAAATGATCAATGACTAGAGCTCTTATTAGTTAAGCAAAAATGACCACACCCAAAGCCTCTCTCCTTTGTGAAGCCCTGTCCGATGTCTCATCCTAGTCTGTCAGAATTCATTGCTGTCTCCTTGACTTTCCCAGAAAGTTGCTTGCACTTCTATTTGTCACTCAATTTGTCCTTCCTTATATCACAGAAGTTGATGGATGACACATTTTTCCCTCCACCCATCCATGCAGTGGCATCTTACTGAGCATTTTCCATGTACTAGTGCAGTGCTAGGCACAGGGAGTTCAGAAATGGTATGACATGGTTCCACCCTCAAAGGGCTTGGACTTTTGGGCCAGCCAAGGCTGACATGCCCAATGGGTAGAGGCACTAAAGTAATAATGATAATAATAATAATAATAATAAATTTATTTACAATTTCATTGAATTAAGGTAGTATTTTTTATGGGAAAAAGCAGCACTTGTTGAATTTCCAGACACATTTTTTCAAAAACAATTTATTGTGCTTTGGGTGAAAGTTTACAAAGCAAACTAGTTTTCCATTTAGTAATTTGTACATATTTTGTTTCATGACATTAGTTACAATTCTCACTATGTGACAACACTCTTCCCACTTCCTCCTTCAGTTCCTTGTTTCCCTGCACCCTTTGCTACCCCTTCCTGCTTTCTAAACTTTGTTTTGCGGCAGATGCTGCCCTTTTGGCCTCCTATATATAGTTGATTGTCTGAGAAGTATCTTCTTCACAGTGTTATTGTTCACTCTATATGCCTGTCATTTGCTTGGCTGAAAGTGATCTCCGGGAGTAGATTCAGTTCCAGGTTTGAAGGTTGTCTAAGAGGGCTTAGTCTCGGGGGCTCCACCAGTCTCTATCAGACTAGTGAGTTGGGTCTTTTTTTATGATTTTGAATTTTTCTCTCACTCTGTTCAGGACCTTCTATTGTGACCCTAGTTAGAGTAGTTGGTAGTGATACTGGGCACTATCTACTTTTTCTGGGCTTAGGCTTAGTGGAGACTGTGGTTTGCATGGTCCATTAGTCCTTTGGACTACTCGTTTTCTTGAGTCATTGATTTTCATCACTCTTTGCTCCAGATAAGAAGAGACCAACATTGTATCTTAGGTGGTTGCTCCAAAGTTTTGAGACTCTAGTCGCTACTCACCAATCCAGACACATTTTTTTACGGTATAGTATTATTTTCATAGGGGAAAAACCAAACCAAACTCATTGCCATCAAGTCGGATCTGACTCATAGCAACCCCTCCTTGGGTTTCCAAGGCAGTGTCATGACCAAGGAGTGGCTGGTGGGTTTGAACTGCCAGCCTTCTGGTTAGCAGTCAAATGCCTTAGGCACTACACTACCAGACCCCCCCCCTTTGTTGTTGTTGTTGTTGTTGTTGTTATGTGCCGTCGAGTCAAACCCGACTCATAGCGACCCTTCCTTGGGTTTCCGAGGCAGTATCACTACGGAAGTAGGATTGCCCAACCTTCCTTCCGAGGAGGACCCCCTCTTTAGGGGAGCCATAAGCTAGGCTGCTAACTGAAAGGTGGTGGTTTGAACCTACCAGTTGCTCTGCAGAAGAAAGATGTGGCAGTCCATAAAGATTTACAGCCTTGGAAACCCTATGGGGCAGTTCTACTCTGTGACTATAAGGTCACTATGAGTCGGAATCAACTTGATGTCAACGGATTTTTTTTTTTTTTAATTTTTGTTTTTCTCTGGCCTAGACAAATAGCTTTACTTCTTTCAAGTAGTAAGCAAGGATGTGGGAACTAGCACTAAAACAGGGATGAGCTGAGAGAAGGTGGGGGCCAAGATGCCTCTGTCAAAAGAAGGAATCAATAGAACCACTCAGACTCCAGGCCAAGGTCAATATGGGCTGGTCCAATTCAAGCGTGTCACCCCACACCTCTCCAGGTGTCAGGCCACCATCTCCTTCCCTGGGCCCACAGCTGAGCCATAATGTTTTTGGTTCTTTTTCAAAGTAGCTTAATCCAGTTCATCTTGGCAACAGACACATAAAGGACTAATTGCAAAGAACTGTGTGAAGTGCTAAGATAGAAAAGTGCCAAGATTTTCTGGAAGCTGAGGTAGGAGAGCCCCACTGCCCCAGTGGTATTCCCCAAGGGCAGAAGCCAAGCCTTATCCTAGACTCATAGATTGGTCTGAACTGGACCTTAGACACCAGCTCCTTCAGTACAATTGGGGTAGGAGATGGGATCTTGCCTAATCCCCCTCTAGCCTGAGCAGTAGGTGGGAG